ACGCTGCAAAACTTTCGTCTCAAAAACACAAAAATGGGCTGGAGAGACAGCTCAGTGGTTAAGAGCACTTGTTGCTCTTCAGAGGAACCCAGGTTCAATTCCCAGCACCCACATGGAGGCGCTTAACCATCTGTAACTCCAGTTCCAGGGAATCCAGAACCCTCTTCAGGCCTCTGTGGGTACCAGGCACACATGTAGTACGTACACACACACACACACACACACACACACACACACACATGCAGACAAACACACACATAAAAAAAAACACTTTAAGGGCTGGAGAGATGGCTCAGAGGTTAAGAGCATTGCCTGCCCTTCCAAAGGTCCTGAGTTCAATTCCCAGCAACCACATGGTGGTTCACAACCATCTGTAATGAGGTCTGGTGCCCTCTTCTGGACTGCAGGCATACACACAGACAGAATATTGTATACATAATGAATAAATAAATAAATATTTAAAAAAAACCACTTTAAAACATTTAAAAGCACACACAGAACCAAAAAAAGCCACGTACTACTATTGCAACCACACAAATGATATATAAACTAATAAAAACCAGGAAATGATTCCTGAGAGCTGGCAAGATTGCTCAGTCGTTAAAGGACTTTTGTCTAAGCCTGAAGACACAACTGTAATTCCCGAGAACCCATGGAAAAAGGCATGTGGTTTGCATATGTCATCCCAGAGACAGAAAGATCCCTGTAGTGAGCTCCTATCGAAGACGGTAAAATCCAGTTCTAGAGTGAGAGCCCCAGTCTCAAAGAATACGGCAGAGAGTGAGTTAAGACAATGTTGACCTCTGACCTGCACACACTACACCCGCACCTACACCCACGCGGACCCATACATCCAAGAAAGTGATTCCTCCAGCTCTTCGCGAATATCCCGACAAGACAAAATACCTACAGACCTACTCAGAAGACCACACACATGATATAAAACAAAGTACACAGGTAAGAAGCCTTTCAAAGCACCCAGCACCTAACAGCTGTCCGACCATGGCCCTACGCTGAAAAGTGAAGGTTGCGCTTTCCTCTCCACAGCTCAGGGGCTCGAGGTGCCAACCCGGCGCCCCGCGGGGTGATCAGGGTGTCAACTCCAGCTCAGCCCTCCAGCTGGACATCTGAGGGGCAACGGAGGGAAGCTGCCCAGCATCTCCACACCGCCTGGGGAAAATCCTTGGAAGGCGAGGAGCGTGCGAGGAAAGCCCGGACGAGAGGCAAACCCTGGCCCTGTGAGTCCCGAAAAGGAAGAGCAGAGGAAAGCGCACGCCTCGGCCTCCGCAGCCTGGGGCCGGCACCCGCTGCCTCTCCCGCCCCCAGCCCTCCAGATCGACACGTAGTCATTGCTAGTTAGGCCACCGCTCTAGGATACTCTCCAAACTCAGGCTATCCCCGAATTCTTTGTTTGCCTTCGATCCGGCTGAAGGGCGTTCGTTTTCTTTATTCTCGTCCCCTCCGGCACCGCGTCCACCGCCGCTGCCGCCGCCTCCGCCGCTGCCACCGCCGCCGCCGCCGCCGCCACCACCTCCACCCGGGACCTGCTTCTCAGCAGCCATCTTGCCCCTGCGCCGCAAAGCAGGACGGGTAGAGGAGACGAGATGACGCGCGACCGGAGAGAGCGGCTCCTTCCCAGCCGGGCGATGGGACACTGGAGGACTTTTCCTATGCCTAGCCGCGTGTTGCTGTGCGCCTGCGCGTCCCGGGTGGCTGTAGGTCCTGGCGTTCCTGAGGACTGTGTTACCCCACCTCCAGTCCACCGAGGGCTGGAGGACTGGAGAAAGACCCGCCTCATGCATCCCTGCACCGAAGGGTGGTGGCGCGCGCCTCTAATCCCAGCACTGGGGAGGCTGAGGCTGGAGGATTGCCTCGAGTTCGAGGTCAGCCTGGACTGAATAGTTAGACCTTATTTAAAGAAATTGGGGTGGAGGGGGGAGAAAAAGCGAAAGCCTAAACACTTGGGTTTCCTGATTGCAATGTATTTCAGCTAGGGGACTCAAGAAATGAGCGTCCCCATTCTAGGGAGCACCGGCCTTGAATGTAACTGCACCTACCCTTTTTTTCTGAGGTTGATGGCGACAAACATGGACCTCAGCCAGAAGGCAGTGTCCCCAAGAGGGCTTGAGACCAGTGACCTTGTCTAGATTGTGTGACCGTCAGTCAGTCCAAGGACGACATACAGGAATCTTTGGGGTTGGTCACACCCGGACTCTCGAGTTCTAAGGCTGTCCCAGGCCCTGTGCCAATCATTGTGGATGCAAAGATACTGGGCGAGAAACTCAGTCTCGCCATGAACCAGTTCCCTCATCTGTGACAATAGGATAGCCACTTAAAGTGGGTGCTAAAATGGGCATGGTGGCTCATGCCTGTAATCCCAGAATTCAGGAGACTGAGGCAGGAGGACACAAAGTTCAAGGCCAGCTCTGCTACCTGGTTAAGTTTCAGGCCAGCTAGGCAATATCGGACGGCATCGGTCCTTTCCTTCCTTCCACTTCGGTTGGATGGCAAAGGGTCTGCTACCTTTCCAAGTCATTAGTTACATCATTCCTCCAGACGTAATCACAAATCTTCAGTTCTCATCAACAAAAACAACGGTGTTGACAGCTCCCTAATGCCGATCGTATTCCTGAACAATCTCTCCACTGTACAATCTTTCTGCCAGATGTCCCAGCCACAAAGAGATTTTGCTTGTCTTCATCGGGATTGAACCCGACACAATAGGGTGCTTTTTGGTTTGTAAACCTTGGCTTACCCTGTCCGTCTCTGTGTCCCAGAGCTTCAGGTACCTGTCACAGGCCGCACTGAGGACCTGTGTCCCTGCAGTGTTGACACGGATTCCCTCACAGCTTTACTGTGACCAATCAATGTGTTCAGACAGCGCCGGTCTCCATAAACTTCCCATAGCTTAACTTTACAGTCCATGGAACAAGACAGCAACAGACATCCAGAAAGAGGAAACAGCCTGACCACACTGACACCTTTGTGTGTCCAGACCACACAGGAATTTGGTTTTGGAGAAGACAACATTTTCAGGTGGCCCAGATGACTGTAGATTAACACCGACATCCTGAGGTGTGTGCACGCAGGACCCGCCTTGAATGTCATACATTTCTTCAATGTGTAAGATTGTCTTCTCCTCCCCAGGTCTCCCCTTTTCCTATTTGCCTTTTTTCTGCCTCTTTACTGTGTAAACAGAGACTGCTGGTTCATTTTCCATCTGCCCTGATTCAAATAATCACACAGAAACTATATTAATTACAACAGTGTTTGGCCAATAGCTTAGGCATATTCCTAGCTAGCTCTTACACCTTAAATTAACCCATTTCTATTAATCTGTGAATCACCACGATGGTGTGGCCTACCAGTAAGGTTCTGGCATCTGTCTCCTTCGGCAGCTACATGGTGTCTCTCTGACTCTGCCTACTCTTTCTATATATATCTGTTAGGATTGCCTGCCTGGCTTTACTCTGCTAAGCCATTTGCCAAAACAGCTTTATTCATTAGCCAATAAAAGCAACACATGCAGAAGGACATCTCACTTCATTGCTGTGATTTCATCCAACTCCTTTTGTTCTTCTGAACGTTTGGCTACATCTTTTTCATCCACAAAATTGCCCATGGTCCCAAGAAACCATCAATATTAGAAGCATCATTTTCTTTGAACTTTTTCCTCTTTTCTGTTTCTTCTGACCAATTTCAAACACAAATGTCCATCTTTGCTGTTCAAACATGAAGTCATATTGATATGAGCTGCTCTAGATGTCCAGAAATCTCATTTCTGGAGCAGCCATAGGAGCAATCTCAAAGGTAGGATTATATTGAAGTTCTTTGACAGCAGGGTCAAGGTGAACTCCAGTCTCCAAATCTTCCTCAACTGCCACCTCCAGAGCCCAGTCACCGCCACTGTCTGAGAGGGCTTGGCTGAAGGCGATTTGGTCAAGTGCATGAGAGAGCCGGCGGCTGGCGGCCGACACTGACTGCCCTCACTGTCGGAGTCCGATTCAGACCCTGAACCCAAACCATACGAAGCAGCTAGAGCTGCAATCACAGCGTACATGACTGCAACAGATGCCCTCTGCTGTGGTCAGGCCAGGGCGGAAGAAGCAGCGACTCCCAGGACCTCATTGGGTGCCAGATGTAGCGCAAATCCTAATTGGTCTTAAGCTCAGAGAAGCAGGGCAGCCAGCCACTAGTTCTTACCTCTACAGAATCCTCAGATTCAATGGCCGAGAGCTCATATCTCTACAATCCTCAGACTGAGTGCGCTTGAGATCCTGTCTCCACCCACTTTATATTCCTGTCTCCACCTCCCTAGTGCTGGGATTAAAGGTATGAGCCACCTCCATTGCCTGGCTCTGTTTCTCTTTCAGTTCAATCGGGCATAGCCCAGGGTGGCCTTGAACTCCTGATCTTCCTGCTTCTTCCTCCTGAGTGCTGGGATTAAACGTGTGTGCCAGCACTGCCTGGCCTCTGTGATTAACTAGTGGCTAGCTCTGCCCTCTGATCTTCAGGCAAGCTTTATTTGTTAGAGCACACACAAAAGATCACCACATCTTTTAGTATATCAGACTGTTTCAATAACATGTATGGGTGAATATGATTGTCACCCAGCTCCAGAGATAAACCAAAAAACAAACAAATACTTTAGATGAGTGCATGGTTTAGCGTGTGAACTGTGGTTTAAAGCTGCTAGGGAAGAAAGTGCAAGTATGTTAGCATTGTAGTCAAAGTCTTTCACAGCCTCCTCGTTTTACTAGACTAAATGCCACCACCCTCGCAGTGGAAAAGGACAGAGCCAGGGATACTGCTCAGTTAGAGTGTTCCTCTAGCATGTATGAAGTCTTGGGTCCAAGCCTCAACACCACATAAACCGGGCCTGAAATCCTAGCACGTCAGAGGGAGAAGCAGGAAGATGGAATGTTCCAGGTCTTTGGCCAGCCTGGTTACAGGAGACTCTGTCTCAGATACATGCAGTGGAAGGGGGGGGGGGGCCGGTTCTGTCCCAGCCCCCTCTCCATTGGCTCTCAACAATCTATAATTCCAGTTCAAGGAGTCCTGAGCCCTTCTCTAGCCTCCACAAGCACCACATGCAGGTGTACATACAGATAAACAGGCACATACATGCAAGCAATTGAAAATAACAGGCCAGACTGGGCGGCGATGGCACACGCCTTTAATCCCAGCACTCGGGAGGCAGAGGCAGGAGGATCTCTGTGAGTCCGAGGCCAGCCTGGTCTACAGAGTGAGTTCCAGAACATCCAGGACTACATAGAAGAGACTCTCCCCATCCCCCCGAAAAAAAACTACAAATTTTAAATTTTTTTTCAGATTTTTAATGAGTATGAGAGTTTGTTTGTGTGTCTGTGCACCCAGTGTGTGCAGCACCCTCGGAAGTCAGAAGAGGCTATTAGATCCCCTGGAGCTGAAGTTCCAGATGGTTATGAGCCACCCTGTGGGTGGGAATCGAACCCAGGTCCTCTGCAAGAGCAGCAAGTGCTCTGAATTATGGAGTCATTTCTCCACCCTCACAAGAAGTTTAAAGGAAGTCTCGCCCTCAACAATGGCCACTTTCCTTGTTTGTTGAACTCAGCGACACCAACCGCGACTTAGGGACACAACCACACACCTACCTTATGGCAGAAGGTATTCCTGTTCTGTCTTTATGTATTCTCCCCAGTAGTGGGCTGTTTCCTCACCTCCACTATATTCAAATGTCTGGTGTGCATCGTAAGTGGAGTTTCTCTGTGTCCTGGCAGCCGCTCCCAAATAACTATACAGAGATTTATTATTAATTATAAATGCTCGGCCAATAGCTTATAGTTGTTTTTAACTAGCTCTTGTAACTTAAATTAAGCCATTCCTGCTAATCTATGTGCTGCCCTGAGGCTGGTTTACTTCATGTATGAACTCCCCTGTTGCTTCTTCCACATCTGGCTCACGACTCTGGTGACTCAAGGACTCCACCTTTTCTTTTTCCCCCAGAGTCTCTCTGTCCTGAAGATCCTGCCTAGCCACCAGTCAGTCAGCTTTTTATTAACAGTGAGATCAACACATCTTCACAGTGTGCAAAAGGATCGCTCCACGGCACACGTTGTTTTGTTTTCTGTACATTGGTGTTTTGCATGCCTGTATGTCTGCGTGAGAATGTCTGATCTCCCGGAAATGGAGTTACAGACTGAGCTGCCACGCGGGTGCTGGGAACTGAACCTGGAAGAGCAGTCAGTGCTCGTAACCACTGAGCCATCTCTTCAGGCACTGGTTATGTTTTGGTTTTGGTTTTGTTTTGACAGAGTCTCGTTGTGTTGTCCAGCCTGGTGTTGAGTTACTGAACTCAAATGGTCTTTCTCCCTCTGACTCCTAAGTAGCTGGGACCATAGATGTGCCCATGGGTCCTACCACGTCCGGCTAAATAATTTTTCTGCTGTAGGGATATGACTTGGTGGTAGAGTGATTGCCCAGAACACATGGGACCTTGGATTCAATGCCCAGGACACACACACACACACACACACACACACACACACACACCGATAAATAATGTCACCTTTCTTCCTTCCTTTCTTTCTCTCTCTCTCTCTCTCTCTCTCTCTCTCTCTCTTTCTTTCTTTCTTTCTTCCTTTCTCTTTGTGGTCTTGGCTGCCCTGGAACTCACTATGTCCTTGAATTCACAGAGACTCTCCTGCCTCTGCCTCCTGAGTGCTGGGATTAAAGCTGTACATCACCACACCTGGCACATCTCCAAACCTTAAGACAGGGTTTCACTGAGTGGCTCAGGCTGGCCTAGAACTCACTCTGCAGCCCAGCTGGCCTTGAATCCTCCAACTCCAGCCTCTTGAGTGCTTACATTCCAAGTCTGATTCAACAAGCCCGGCTCTAGGAAAAGAATGTTCCTGGTTAAGATCTGAATGGTAACAAGACTTGATCCACTAATAAACTGGCTTCCAGTTTCACACCTCCCTGCGTTCTGTGTTTGGTTTGTGTGTGGGAGTGGGGTGTTCGTGCCTGCGTGAGTGAGTGTATGTGCGCCGTATTTGTTCAGGAGCCTGTGGAGCAGAAGAGGGTATAGACCTCCTGCTACTGGAGTTACCAGAAGTCATGGGTGTTGGCATGTGGGTGCTGGGAACCAAACCTGGGTCCTCTGCAAGAGCAGCAAGTACTCTTAAAGACTGGGTCACCGTTCCAACCCTTCTCCTAGTAGTCTTACCTCATGCTTCTTTGAAGGCAGTGTTTCCAGGCCCATTCCATCCCATAACTGAGGTGAAGTTCATAGGCTGGCAGCTGAAGGAGACCTCTGCATATCGGGGCTCTCTCCTGGACCCGGGATTAGGCTTTCTGACTCAGCAGCAAATGTAATTGCAGGTGTAATTTTTAAGAGAAGAAGGGAAGGTCTGTGTTAGAATGGGCAAGGATGTGACGGTCAAGGAGATAGGGGACAGGGACAAGGAAGGAGGGGAAGGGGACAGAGGTATTTGTCCCAGAGGGACAAAGGACTGCCTCTGGATAGAGAGGTCACAGATGTGGCACATAGAAAAATGGCAGTTCATAAAAATACAGAGGGGAAATCCCAAATTTGGATGAGGTATTTAATTTTAATTGGGCATGTGAATTAGGGGAGCCAAAGGGGACTTTTGATAGCTGGACTTTGGTGGTCTGCCTCTGGAGAAGGAAGTGGTTAAATGAGGGAATAGCTTGGGGGCCAGCTTTAGGGATGTAATCTAATGGCTATTAGCAAGGCAGAGGGATGGGGGAGAAGGGCAAGGCTCCCGTGGGCTAGTGTCCCTTCAACAGTAGTGCCTGTTCAGAGGGAAAACATTTGGTGGATGGAAAAAAGGGAGCGAGATGAAAATACCCATTCTGGCCACAGGCATGTTGGGGCATGGCTGTAATTCCAGCAGTGGAGACCGAGGCAGAAGGGTTGTGGGTTCAAGGCCAACTGGGGCTCCACAGAGGCACCCGGTTTCAAACCAAACAACAACACAAATCCTCCTTTCCTCCTCCTCCTCCTCCTCCTCCTCCTCCTCCTCCTCCTCCTCCTCCTCCTCCTCCTCCTCCTCAGGGTTTTACTCTTTGGAGTTCCTGTGCGACAGGGTGAAGTGAGTCAGAATTGGAAGGGGGCATGGACTGTATGACTGGCGGGTCCACTTTGTCTGTCGTGTGTGTGTGTGTGTGTGTGTGTGTGTGTGTGTGTGTGTTGGGGGCAGGGCGATCACAAGGACGGCTCCTGGACCCGGTGTCAGCCCCTTATTCCGGGTAGTGGGGTGGATCTCTCAAGAGCACCCCACGTCCCGCCCGCACCCTGGTCCCTCCACCGCTCTGAGCTGACTCGGTCTAAAGCCGGGGCGAATCCCAGGACTGGAGCGCGGAGCCGACAGCACCTCTTCTGGAGGCAGGGCGCAGCGGGGGACGGTCCTGCACTCTGGATGCTCGCTCCTCCTCCCGTTCCCTGCGCACCCCTGCTCTCGCTCCTGGAGCTGGGCAGAGTCTCGCTGGGGCGCTGCAGCGAGGGAGCTGCGCGCTCACTAGGACCAGGACGGCTGCGAGAGCCAGGGCAGCGTCCGCTTCGGTGACACCATGAACGGCTCAGGCAGCCCGGGGACCGAGGACACCAGCCAGGAAGCCGGCAGCGGCGGCTGGCAGCCCGAGGCTGTCCTCGTGCCCCTGCTTTTCGCGCTCATCTTCTTCGTGGGCACCGTGGGCAATGCGCTGGTTTTAGCCGTGCTGTTGCGCGGCGGCCAGGCAGTCAGCACCACCAACCTATTCATCCTCAACCTGGGCGTGGCCGACCTGTGCTTCATCCTGTGCTGCGTGCCTTTCCAGGCCACCATCTACACCCTGGACGGCTGGGTGTTCGGCTCGCTGCTCTGCAAGGCCGTTCATTTCCTCATCTTCCTCACCATGCACGCCAGCAGTTTCACACTGGCCGTCGTCTCTCTAGACAGGTGAGCGAGCATTCCGTTGTCTCTGAGAACTGGTACCCTGATACAGGCTTGGGCTGGAGCTGCAATTAGGGATCCAGGAGCGATGCACAGTGTGGGCGAGAAGACGGAAATCACAGTGGCTTGAGGCAGTGATATCCAAGCGGGAGCGGAGGAGAAAAAGGATTTAAAGTCAGTGACTAAGACTGTCCCTCTATAAGTTGGTCTTCAGACCTCAAAGGCTGGAGAAATCAGCTCCCTGGAGACTTCACATTATTAGTGCTTGAGCTTAATGCCTCTATGAAACGCTACCATCCTCAGAGCTAGTGTCTAAGTAACTTGCTCGGGTAGCCAGATGGTAAATTGAGAGCTGCAGGGAAGCATCTGGTTCTTGGCGCCAAACTCAGGACGTGGACCCGTTGTCTGGTGCCTTAGGCTTGGGACTGGGCTGTGTTTGGGAAGGATCCATGCTGAAGCCCAAGACAATGTGAGTGGGGGCTCCTAGCTGTCCCCCAAACGCCCTCCAGGTCAAGGCTCCTGGCCAGAGAAGCCAGCGGTTTGATGCTCCTGCTCTAGTTAAAGAGCAGAGAAAGAGAAACTTATAGAATGCTCTGGAGGAATCTTGGCTGGAAAAGACACTAGGAACAGGTCCCAGGGAGGAAATGATCCGATTCTGTTATTTTCCTCCCCTTTCCACACCACTTGGACCTCCCCACGAAAGAGCAGCCAAGAAGTGCCATGATCCCCACTCTCCTCCCGTTTCCACCGAGTGCAGGTGTGGGTTCCGAGTCGGCTGGTGGGATGCACACAACTTCCGCTTTCTCCAGGAATTTCCTTGCAGTTTCTTAACCCAAGTCCTCTCCAGGTTGTCTGTCAGAGCCTCAGGCAGTAGGGATGGCCTTCCCTGGTTGTCACTAGAGGATAATAATCCCTGCCCCCAGGAGTCCAGGCAAACTCTCTAACTTTTCGTCTTCGGTGGTTTTGGGATGTTTTTTCAAATGGAGTAAACCGGCGGCACATTGCCAGAGACTACCCAAGAACGGTCTAGACTCCCACCTGGTTTGCTTCTTGGTCCTGTCCTAATTCTAGGATCAAATTAGCATCAGAGACACTGGGTCTGCCTTCCAGGCATAGGCCATATAACCTTTTTGTTAAATGCCTTCTTCCAGAGCGAGGGTGGGGTTGGCGGTGGCCTAGCAGTGAATCCTCTCGCTTACCCGACACATCCTTGCTCCTCACTGTTCCTCAGGTATCTGGCTATCCGCTACCCGCTGCATTCCCGCGAGCTGCGCACACCTCGAAACGCGCTGGCGGCCATCGGGCTCATCTGGGGGCTAGCGCTACTCTTCTCCGGTCCCTACCTGAGCTACTACCGTCAGTCGCAGCTGGCCAACCTGACCGTGTGCCACCCAGCATGGAGCGCGCCTCGACGCCGCGCCATGGACCTCTGCACCTTCGTCTTCAGCTACCTGTTGCCGGTGCTGGTTCTCAGTCTGACCTATGCGCGCACCCTGCGCTACCTCTGGCGCACAGTCGACCCAGTGGCGGCAGGCTCAGGTTCCCAGCTCGCCAAACGCAAGGTGACACGCATGATCGTCATTGTCGCCGCGCTATTCTGCCTATGTTGGATGCCTCATCACGCGCTTATCCTCTGCGTGTGGTTTGGTCGCTTCCCGCTCACGCGCGCCACTTATGCGCTGCGCATCCTCTCACACCTAGTTTCTTACGCCAACTCGTGTGTCAACCCCATCGTTTATGCGCTGGTTTCTAAGCATTTCCGTAAGGGTTTCCGCAAAATCTGCGCAGGCCTGCTGTGCCGCGCCCCGAGGCAAGCCTCAGGCCGAGTGTGCGTCTTGGCACCTGGCAATCATAGTGGCAGTGTGCTGGACCGCGAGTCCACAGATCTTACACACGTGAGCGAGGCAGCAGGGCCCCTTGTCCCGGCACCCGCGCTTCCCAACTGCACATCCTCAAGTAGGGCCCTCGATCCGGTCTATTAAAGGATCAAAGGGCATCTAAAGACATCTGCAGTGTGACCTGAGGACACCTGGGGGTTATGCTTGGATGTTCGAGGGTTGCAGTCAAAGACTCAAAATTGTAAGGAAATGTTCTCTTGTTACTAAACCGCACAGTCACGTGACATAAGCCTCAATCCCAGCACTTGGGAAGTTGAAGGAGAGAAGCAGGAGCCCTGGAGTTTGAGCCCCCCTTGACCTACATGAGATACAGTCTGAACAATAATAAAATTCTTAAAAGGCTCAAATCATTTCATATGCTGTGGTGCATGTTGGAGTTATAATATGAAGCCCCAAAGCCTGGGGTAAAAAGCCTCTGGGACTTTACAGGGTGTGGGAGGCTTCTCCTAGTGGGGTGCAGGCTGCTTAGCTTAACCATTAAAAATTAAAGTCCCTAGCCGAAGCTAGGGATTCAGTGTTGCCTAACATGTGCCCCCACAAGTTGCTAGTTGTATATACCTAGGTCATCAGCCAACTGCCATGAGTTGAAGTTGACTGACGGGAGACAAGCATCGCTTGTGTTTGTGTGCCTAGTTTGTCTATGCACAACCACACGGAGGGCTCCTGAGGCCTTGAAGTCAGGGCAGCTTGACCAGTGCTCCACTCTGGGCCTTGTATTTGTTTCCCTGCCTACAACTGCACGGGACCAAGTAACCAGCATTTAAATTTTGCTTAGAGGTCAAAAAGTCACCTTCCAACAGGTTCCACTCCACATACACTACAGTGATGAATTCTAAGACTTCAGGTTGGAGCAAGTTAATTCGGCTAAACAGGGTTTTGGGTCACTGGTCTCTATCTGTCCCCAGTATTTAAGGAGCAGCAAGGACATGGAGGTCCCCATTGCACATAATGGAGTGTGCTGACTTTTGTCAAAGGCACCACTAAAGCACACAGCCTGCACCCCAACCCTAATTAGGGCTTGTAGAAGAGACACAGTGAGGCTGGAGAGATGGCTCAGCGGTTAAGAGCTTCTCTTTCGGAGGTTGAGTTCAGTTCCCAATGAACACGTCGTGGCTTACCACCTGGAATGGGATCTGAAGCCCTCTTCTGGTGTGCGGCATACAGAGAGAACACACATAAAAAGAAGGAAAAAGGAAAGGAGACAAAGATTCCAGTCTTGCCGGGCGGTGGTGGCGCACGCCTTTAATCCCAGCACTTGGGAGGCAGAGGCAGGTGGATCTCTGTGAGTTCGAGACCAGCCTGGTCTACAAGAGCTAGTTCCAGCCAGGACAGGCTCCAAAACCACAGAGAAACCCTGTCTCAAAAAAACAAACAACAACAACAACAAAAAGATCCCAGTCTTGCCTCATAGGGCAATGAGTTCCAGATGCTGGAAATAGAGTAGGGGGGGCACCGAGGCAGGTGCAGTGGCTGGGGCTGGACCCTGAGTTTTGGCTTTGTGTGTTTGTGGAACTGGATGGGAGAAGTGTTTTGTCCAAGGCTGAGCCCTTGCACAGAGCAGCTGGCTCCATCCAGTGGCTCAGAATGGGCTGAATGGAGGTTGTAATTTAGGCTCCACTGCTCTGCCCAGACAGACCCTGATGGCTCTGTGGATCCAGCTACACCTAGCTTTCCTCTAGCTCAGCACCAATCCGCTCTTGGTTTAGAAACCCAGCTCCCAGGATCAGCAGTTGGTAGGTTGAGGGCTTAAGGGTTTTTGTTTTTCCAGACAGGACTTTTCTGTAGCTTTGCAGCCTGTCATGGAACTTGCTTTGCAGACCAGGCTGGCTTTGAACTCAGAGATTCACCTGCCTCTGCCTCCCCAGTGCTGGGATTAGAGGCATGTGCCACCACAGCCTGGCTTGAGGGCTTAAGGTTTTAAGTGTTAGGATTCGGGTCCTGATATAAACCTGACCTCGTCCAATCTGGAATGTTAGTGTGCATCCCCAGCACGCAGTCCCACTGCCCTGGAATTCACTCTGGATACCCAGACTCATTATCCAGGAAGTGTGAGGCAGAAATTTCAGGTGGGCACCACAGAACCCCTTCCCAACCCCATCTCTAGATGCCTCTTGGAGAATATTATCCTTTTGGTGGCTACCACAGTAGCAGGAGCAGGAATTTCTCTAGCAAAACCCAGGTGGGGGTGGCAAAACTGGAGTTGAAGTCTCCCCTTGTGGCAGCACAAGAAAGGGCTGGGCTCTGGCCGTGGTGCTTCTCCCTGTAGGCTATGGTGGACTGAACGGTCCCAGACCCACAGGTCTGAGTGCAGCACAATGGTCATGTGGAGTTGACCACAGCTACTGTAGCCCGAGTTTCAACCCTTTCAGCAACACTGCGCTCAGAGAGCCTGGGGGATGAGACTGAGTGGGATGTTAGGGGCGCTTGTCTCCAGGAACAAGGTTCTGTGGGCTATTAGGTCAGCATGCACCCCCATCATCCCATCTCAGTCTTAGGGCAGCTGAATGAACAGAGAGGCAGCGTCCGTGCCTCCCTCCAAGTCATCCATCTCCAGTCCCTCGAGGCTCTTCACAGTCGTCCTTCAGAGTCACAGCTCCAGTTCTCGGAGCTGCTCCACAGTAACTGGTCCCTGTCACTTCATTCTCTTCTCCCCAGCTACAGTGTCTGGGCCAAGAGTGCCAGACTTAGAGGCTCATCCTCAAAGGCAACTGAAGGCGCAGCTACCCAACACACATGCACAAACTCGCCAGGTGTCACAGTGCTCCCAGGAAAGCCTCGTCACTGCCCCACGGGCCCTAGTGTCTCTGGTGAGAGACAGTGGACAGAGACGAATCTGCAATCAACTCCCTGCCACGAAGTGCTGTCAAGTGCATTTATTTCCACAAGGACAACTCAACTGCGTCTAAGGCTCTTCTTTAACTGGAGGCCATCCGGTTTGCCCCCAAAGGCCAGGGAGACCTTGTGGATTGGCTCCCTCTCCCACCAGCCCTCAGAAGCCTGCAGCTTCCGGGACTTGTATCCTACCCCTTTCAGTGACGGAGCTGGAGTTCCAGGTCCATGTGGTAGAGGAGATTGTGTCAAGAAAGAACATGCAGCTCATGACAGGAAAGCTCAGGTCCCACTCGGGCATCCCATGTCCTGCTTCCCAGTGACAGAGTCCACCTGGGAAGAGGCTGGCAGAGCCCGGTGGAGGGGAGTGATGGTATAAATATCCCCAGAGGCATGGTGGTCTCTCTTCTGCCTGCTCTCTCCACACCCAGGAAATGCCTTTTTCCTTCCAAGATGTACCCGAAGAACACTGAGCCCAAGTCCATCTTGGTGGGGCTGGTTCCCAGGGAGACACTGCTATTGGCCGATGCGTGAGGGTCAAACCACTATGTGCACTGCCTACAAAGTGACACTGTTGCTTGACTTCCTTGCCTTCCACTCCTCCCCAGTGCAGGCTCTGTCCAGTTCTTCTTCCTGTAATCCACTGCTCAGTAAGACCTGCTCCCCTGCTCCCACCAAGACCAGTTGGGTCCAGGTCCAGCCTCCGTCCCTTCCAACGGCAGCTGACTTCTTCACCTGCTGCTGCACTTCCTCAGCACCAAGGCTGCCATGGAGACATAGCCCTGGAGACAAGAGCAGCCCCAAGCCTGTGCCCAGAGGGGAACTGAGTGATGGGAAGAGTCCAGGACCTAGTGTGGAGGGTAGGCAAGGGTAAGGCCCATCCTGGGAGTGCGGCTCGTGGGGATGGAACAGAGCAGAGTGGTAAGCTGCACACCTGCAGCCGGCCAGACTCGGAGACTGGGTGGCTGCAGGCTTTCGGCATCTGTCTGCTGGCACCTGGCTTGGGTGCCATCTTTCTCTCCCCAGGTAGAAGCATTTATGAAGCCAGGCAGAATCATTCCCCCCAAAGGCCCAGATGGCCCCTGAGAGAAGCTCATGCTTGGCAAATTTCTCTCAACGGTGCTTCTTCCTCTGGAGGAGGCTTAGGAAGAACCAGACCCAAACTTTAATTAGTCCAACTAAAGAAGGGACACTCTGGACTAAGAAGCCCTTTCACCTTTCTGCTCTGGAAGACAGTTCCTTTCCTTGCCAGCAGCTCCTGGAAGAGGAAAGAGTTAGGAAAGGCCGAGCTACAGTTGCTGAGCCACCTTCTTCCTCATGTATGTGGGAGTGTGATGTGCAGCCAGGTCATGTATGTGGGAGTGTGGTGTGCAGTCAGGTCATGTATGTGGGAGTGTGGTGTGCAGTCAGGTCATGTATGTGGGAGTGTGATGTGCAGTCAGGTCATGTATGTGGGAGTGTGGTGTGCAGTCAGGTCATGTATGTGGCCAGTCTGGATGTGGGACGCGTGCAAGTGTGACCTGGCCCCTAGCAAGGTAGCCTCCTGGTGGACAACCCAGTCTATAACAGGGTGGGGCCTAGGGATACAGATTTGAGGGTACAGCACAGTTCCTATGGCTAGGACACTGTCTCTAAAGAGGGTCAGCTCCATTCTCTAGCAGGAGGCACATGGATCCCGAGTGCCCCGTGTATAAAAGCAAAACAAGCCATCACCCAAATGTACCCTAAGGGTCTGCCTTCCTGACACAGCTGTTCATTGCCAACCTACAGCCCAGCTTCACCCTCACAGCCTCACACTTTGCTCCTGAATTGCTCCCCTTTGTCCGCCAGTTCCCTGCCCCTCATGCTTCTAGGCTAAACTTTCTGTAGCCACCGCTGCATGCCCTGGGCTGTGAGCACAGAAGCTGGGAGCCAGGGAACAGATACCCGAGGGGCTGCCCCCACAGGGCGGTTTACAACTCCTCCAAACACTTGTTACAGTGTGCTAGATCCAAAGGGACCAGAGAAAGAGCCCTCCCACCTCCTGTCACCAGGGGACTCCCAGGTAGCAGGGCATTCCAGAGAACTGGGGCTACTGCACAAGTCCCAGGGAGCAGGTCACATGACAACCTGGCCTCCAGCTCTGCTGGCTGCCATTTGGCCTGTTCTTTGAGCCCGCTCATCTGTGGGCTGAAGAGGATGGAAGTAGACCAGGGTGGAGTCTGTCATCTCATTCTTGGCTCCCACACAGCAGCTAGGGGCATCAGCCTCTGTCTCCGAAGTCATCTTGGGGCCCCTGCTGGCTGCACTCCACAATGAAGCCCAACGTGAGAGGACCCCATATTCTGGGCGAGTGCTAGTGTGACAGGAGATGTGGGCCGCAGGGGAGCTGCAAACAGCAGGGACAGGGTTCCCGGCGCAGGGGTATACTAAATCAGTCCAATGACGTGGGAGTCTGGAGGAACGAGGCAGCACACGGGCAGGCTTAGGCAGAGGTGTCGAAAAGGCGATCGATCATTTCGCCCACCTGCTCCACACGGTACTTGATGTACTTCTCGGGATTCTTGGTGAAGGGCACGCTGCCATACCTGACCAGGCACCATGGTAAGAGGTCAAGGGGGAGAGAACCTCCACTCTCAGCCTAAGTGTGAGCTCCCCTAACCCTCTGACCGGGTGCTAAGATGGCAGGGGTACCTCTAAACAACATTCCAAAGCCCAGAGCACCAAACATGCTGTCTACCCTATTGCAACTTTTACTTCCCTGAGGAAAGGAGCATGTAGGTTACCTGGAAAGCGGGCAGCAGAGGGCCCAGGAGGGGGTGGGCTCACCTGTGCAGAAAGGCCCCATAGGTCTCCTTGACAATGGTTTTCTGAGCTTGTCGAATCTTGTCCCTCTGCTCTGTGTCTGGAATGGCCCAGGCCTTCTGAATCTTGCACAGATCTTCAAGGCCATCATTGAAGCCCTGACCACCAAACAGGTAGGAAGGAGGGACCAAGAGACAAAAGCTTTGGGTCTCTGTGGCTGAGGTGGCAGCAGCAATCAGCGGGAGGGAGGCCCTTGACTCACCTTGAAACGTTCCTTAATTATCTGCCGCTCCTTGTCCCGGAGCTGGGGGTCCAGAGAGCAGAGGGAAGCAACAGAGAAGGCCTTGCTCAGAGCAGAACCATGACGCCCTCTTCTGCCCCCAACCCTCTCCTGCCGCCCTCATGGCCTCACACATCTCCGTCCAGAGAGATGCTTGACACCCCTTCCTCGCACAGGCCTTAGGCCTACCTTGACTCCAGGCTGTAACACCGGAAGATTCTTCTCTGTGATGTAATCAGTCACCTTTAACCAGCTGCCAGACAGCAGGGTGAGAAGACAGAGAGGGGCAACTTCAGACAGCTACTTCTTCCCTAAAAGCTGGGTTTGTTTTTCAAACCTCTCAGTCTACTGAAGGTGGGGGCAGTAGGAATTATCTGGGTCAGAGATGCTCTCCTTGGGAACGGAAAACGCTCAAGCTGCTCGCGTTGACAATTAGGAACAGGAAGCAGCAGGCGCTCGATAAACTGAACAAATGTTGCCGACCAGAGTTCACATCAATATTGTGGCAAATTAAGAGAGAGAAACAGATGGGAAAAGAGGGAGCAGAGGACAGATAAACAGGAAGGAAGTGGGAGACACTCAGAAAGAAACAGGCCAAGGAAACCAGAGGACCAGAGAAACACCCAGAACCCTTCCAAGTTCAAGGGCTCTCACAACCCCGCTGTTCTCCAGGACTAAGCATTGTTCACATCTCTGACAGTCCCCTTTGCAACAATTCTTAGTCATGACACTTGGCAGACCATTCTGAAGAGGCTATGGGGAGGAAGAGGGAGCTTCTCTCTCCACTCATGAGTGCTGGGGCTTAGCTAGTGGCCGCTCCATACTCAGCCCGTGCAAGGTCCTGGCTTTGAGTCCTAGCACTGACAACGAACCCCAAGAAGGAAAACAGACGGTGGGTTACCAGTGATACAGCAGGAGCTGCTGGCCTCATGCTATGAGGGGCTGACAAGGAAGTGTGGTAGGTTCAGAGGGACCGCAGAGGGCTGGTGGCCTCTTACCTGCGCTGGTAGGTCTGGATCTGCTGCTCGATGTGCTCCCGGTAGGAACGCTCAGCAGTCTTCTGGGTCACAGCCACCAGCAGGATCAGCTCAGACCTGAGTGAAGGAGGAAGAAGAAGAGAAAGAGAAGAAATTCCTGGGGTCCAGAAATCGCTGGCCTTGGCGGCTTCCCATTCGAAACCTTCCTGAGCTCAAATGGAGGATTGGTTGCTGACCAGAGACTGAAGCACACAAGGCTAGGAGGCTGCAGATGCAGCGTCCGGTCCTGGAAGGCAGAGGCTGGCATGGCTGCCCAGCCAAGGCAGGGCCACTTACTTCTCCAAGGACTTGAGGATGTAGTTATAGTTGTTGTGTAGGAAGATGGCGCTCAGTGCTGGGTCCTCATACACCTTGGACTTGCTCAGCAAGTTCAGCTGCAGGTTTCCCAAGACTTTGCCTATTCAGAAAGATAGGGCCACTTACATCACAGGATCCGAACACTAGGGCCTGCCCTGCTCACTGTCTTGACAATTCTTCCATGTTCTTCTGACTCCCAGGCCTCTGAAGCCCTTCTTAGAGCTAGAGTCCTGAACTAGAATGCAGGTTACTATTCCATGGCCAGGGAGGGACCCAGGAATAAGAGGACAGCACTGAGGCCAGGGAGGGGGGTTCTGCCAGGGAGACTCACAGATATAGGTGCTCAGCAGGCGCTTGCTGAACTCGGAGCTGTAGCTGGTGGCCGAAGAGCTGGTTTCTGAGAGGAGATGTGCTGTTATTGTGGTGGCAATGGTCACCCTTGAGGGCCCTTTCCACACCCCAGGGGCAGAGGAGGAAATGTTGGGGCAGGCAGGACTGAAGGAAGAGCTCAGGCAGAGATGGGCACCTGCTGAGCTACAGGAAGCATATGGACTCTTTCTGGATCTTCTACAATAATGGGCTAAGGAGCCTACCCATGATAGCAGGCAGGCAGGTAGGAGAGGCGTAGGGTACCAACGCCTTCCCCACCTTCCCAGCCTAGTCCCCAACATAAGATGGGTGGTATCTATTAGATCCTTTTACGTATTTGCCAACAGCAAGGGTTTTTGGACAGGGCCACCCTATCTTTTCACCTTCTCTTCACATGCTCCTGAACCCCCGACCCTGCTGATGCACAGCAGGCCAAGGGGAAGGAAGGGCCAGGCTAGCCAGGGGGTGTTCTTAGGGTGCTAGACCCATTAGGGTACTGCCTGGATAGACTTGGAGACAGAAGGCAGCTATGAAGGGAAAAGGAGAAAATGAGGGCATCCTTAAAGAACTCATGCCCCTTTGCCCTGCCCCCAGTGGGTTCTGAGAACTGGTCCCCTGGGAACCTTACCCACCGGGCTTTGGAGGGGAGAATGGGGCTGGGGGACACACTGCTTACCTCGGGGGTCTAAAGGAATATTGTATGTGTCCCCAAGAACTACGGAGTGACAGGCAGTGCACACAGAGGGGGAGGAGGGAAACAGAGGAGGAAGATGCAAAAGTGCAAAAAACAGGTTAGAAATGGCTGTGTCACCCCAAGCCAAGCAGACCTTCCCCCATGACAGCCAGACACAGCCAGCAGACACACCAAGCCGAACTAACTCAAGACCAGAACACACTGGAGAGCGCAGCCCGAGAGAACCAGCAGCTCCTTGGCGTCTTGCCCCCCAAACAAAAACGCCCAGAAGAGCACCCTTCCTTACATGCCAGCCTCACAAGCTCCAGCCCCACCAAGGGGCAGCGAGGAGATGGAGCAACAGAGTAGGCAGATGATGCAGGAGGAGTGGAGGAGTATGAAAGCTGGGCACGGCAGGATGAGCACACCCTGCCCTCACCCAGAGCAAGTTAGGGGCCTCCTAGGGGCCTAACTCTATGTCCCCAGGCAAGAGGGGGCAGAAGGGCACAGTCAAGCCTAACTCGGGTGTTGTGTACCTTGAGAGGCCAGCATGGCACCTGCCGTCTCCTGAAAGTCCAGAAGCTGCTGTAGGAAAAGGATGGCCTGGTAGAGAGAACACACCCGAGAGGGTCAGGGGTAGGCCCAAGGTAATGGCTTCCTATACACCCTTCCAACTAGCAGGGCAGGTCTTGTGCCAAGGGTCTTCACAGTGACAAGAGCAACCGGAAAGTCAAGTGCTATCTTTGGACTCTGGCTGCCCGAGAGGGCCTGTGTGCTGGAGGAACTGGCCCCTCACCACCAGTGACTGCAGGGAGGGTTCCCACTGGTGCTGTACCCCCAGCGTCTGAGCTGGAGTGCTCTTTGTCCCACCTCGCCAGCAGCGTTTGAGTATCACCTACGTTGCTTGTGAGCTCGTGGACGGTGCCATCCTTGGGCATGTTGTATTCTTTGTCTGGATCATTCTGTGGGAAGGAAAAAAAACAGCCCCTGGTTCCCAGAAAAGGGCTCTCACCATTGGCCTCTGGTTCACTGTGAGCCCTAGTTGGTCTTCCTATGGCGCCACCTCCTGGTACATCGGTGTTATGCTGCCCCACAGCCTCAGAAGCTGAGCAAGACAAGGATGTCTGCCTCCGAGGGCATCAGTGCCGGGGAAGAAACAGCAGAGCCCAGAGGGTCTCCTCAGGAAACCAGTAGTGCAGGGGTTTTTCTACAGAGCAAACCTGACTCTCTTGAAGGCTTGCTCTCTGAGGGGTCCTCAGAGCTCAGTGAGCAAGTTGGGTCTGGTGAAAGGGAAAGGGGCTGCAGGTACCTTAATGTTGTCAGCAAAGTCTTCTAGTGCTTTGGCTCCAATGGTCTCCATGGAGGTGATGAGGCTGGGCAGCTTGTTCTTGGTGCTGGCTGCTGTGCCCTGAGGAAGGATGGTTGACATCTTCATCAGAGTCCTTTCACTGTCCTCTCCAGAGGGCTGTGTGTCTAATTCCTAGCCTCACTCCAGAGCCGCATTCTCCAGTTCAAGATTAGCTAGAGCTCTTCTCTTACCTTGTGAGCATCCTAACTTGTTCAAAGCCCCTCAGAGCCACCTCAGAAGAGAGTAGGAGCGCATGGAATAAAGCAAGCCGTGTGAGAAAGGCCCACATACCTGGAGCACCTGGTCAAACTCAGGCTTGGTCTGCTTGAGGTGCCGCAGGATGGGGAAGATTGTGAGCACTGTGGAGAAGTCATGGCGGATGATGGCTTTCCTGGCAGCAGACACGATGTTCTCCCCCTCAAGCATCAGTCCGTCCAGTGCATCCTGGGAGAAGGACAAGGACCCTGTTAGGAAGGTGCAGAGCAGAGCAGGTTCCTAGAGACAGTGGGGGCACCCTGTGGGTGTGAAGGATGGAGAGGGGTCATGGACTACACCAGAGTCAAGGGTTTCGGGTGACAGGCTGCCCCCCTCCCCCATAGCTTCTGCAGTAAGTCACATGGGCCGGTGCTCAGAGCTGAGGGAGGGCAGGGTAAGACCTGAATCAAGGAGTCAAAGGTTTTCTTCTGATGGTGCTCGGGGATGATGTCCGTCAGCAGCTGGTATTCGCTCTGGGCCAGCTTGACAAAGGCGCTGACACAGTGAATGTAGGCGTCAGTCTCCACATCCAGCATGTCATCTCTCCCTGGAGGGACAACGTGCTCCTGAGTGCCTGGGGTCTCAGTCTCTCCAGCGCCTGGGCTAGCCCAGAGCAGCAGTGAGCAGAAAGAGAGACTATGTGACAGGTTGCCATGAGAACGGCTCTGGCAGGTCTGGGAGAGCAGGTGCCAAGTCCACTCAGCACAGGCAGCACTCATGGCCCCGGAGCAAACACGAGAGGTGGTGGAGAAAGCTCGAGGGAAGGAAAGTTCCTAAACCAGTGTCCTGGGTAAGGTCGTCTGACCCCAGGCCTGAGGATTCTGAATTGGGCTTGGAAGAGGGCAGTGTGGGATGGGCAGGCTGCAATGTCCACTTTAAGAGGCAGTCACTGTGGTCCTCAATCTGGGAGATGAGGCTCCTATAACAGTCATTACCAATCTCACCAGACCTAAGAAGTATGAGGGAGCAGAGGGCTATGGCCTACGAGGCTGGCTGGTGTGTGTGTAGAGGAGTTAATTCTGAGAAGAGGCTAAAAGTGATGCACGCCTATGATCCCAGCATTCAGGCTGATGGGGTAGGGTGACCAAGTTCAAGGCCAGCCTGGGGTGCATAGTGAGACTCTATCTCCGCAAAGCAAAACCATCCAAGAAGAGATAATGAGCCCCGGAGACAGAGGGCTCCCTGTTCAGCTGCTCTAGGAGCAGAGCGCATCCCACTATGGGAAGATGGGCAGGGGCCCCAGGACAGGGCAGTCTGGTTTCATATGTTATGAACGGCTCCAAAAGTGAGATACCCCAGCTCGTGACCTCGGAGCAGCCACCTGCCCTCCTGCCTGCCTTCCAAGACCATGCCGCAGCTTCTCCTCGGGCCAGGCCCCAAGAGCCAAGCATGTACTCCATCTCACAAGAGGCAAGGAGACTGGAGGGGGAGCCAGGCCACAGTCCAGGCCCGTCCTCAGAGCAGAGCAGGCCGTCCGGGGGAATGCTTCATAGGCAGTGTCAGCAGCTGCCATGGGCTGAACTACAATACTCACTGGCCAGTGGCCCGTGCTTGTTCAGGGCCTCAGACAGGTGCTTAATTCGGAAATCATGCTCGTGGCCTAGCAAGATGTCAGCGGCACAAACACAAGCAGCGTTTATCCAGGGGACAGGCAGCTGCCCCTTGGGGTATAGGGAAGAAGCCCTTCATCTCCAGGAGTAGAGTGGAGCGTGAAATGGGGCATAGGGAGGGAACACCGAGGAGGGCTCTGAGCCCCTCTACTACCTCAAACCCCACTGGGAACAGCCGTTTCAAGCCTGACTCTCAGGGAGTGCTTAGGACCATCCCTGGCTGTTTGCTTTCTAACACAGGGAGGCCAAGAGAAGGTGCATGGCCCCAGGGAAACTGAGAAATGTCGGTGTTGAGTGAGTGAGGACAGTCATCCTTTGCGTCCCAGGGTGACTCTTTTGGAGGAGGTGGGTCCACCACCACAGCTGGACTGGCTGTCCCTCTCCTGGCAGCGGAGGAGGAACATGTCCTCTAGGCAGCCTTGTCCCCTTAGCTGCAAGAAGCTCCCTTTTACAGAGCAGTAGCCAGGAGGTTTTGACCAACTTGGTCCTGCCCTGCTGATCTGGGCGTGAAAGGGCTGTCCCAAGACAATTTTCTCTAAGTTTACACAGGACACAAAGACAGAGACAGGGAGGACGAACCTTAGGAAGGGCAGAGCCAGGCAGGACAAAGCCAGGGTCATGAAACTTGTCCTTGGGCCCATTGAAGACTGAGGAGCATCAAGGGTTTGCCACTCCCGCCCAGCCCCCTCAGGATCTGCCCCAAGGCCTCCTGGGAGAGGCTCTGCCCTGCCTAATGAGTGAGTGGACTCATAGTAGAAGTGGGGTGACGGAAAAGGAACACAGGGTGGTTACCTTCCAGAGGAATGAGGTTAGAGCCCCCCTTTTTCCCATCTAGACCATGCTGGGAATACTGTTTCAGAAGGTTCTGAGCCTTACGGATCGTCCCTGTCACCAGAGCCACAGAGAGGAGAGAGGAAGACCTAGGAAATGAGTGAGAGAAAACAGCAGCGGCCCTCCACCTGCCCAGCCCACACCCACCCCAACAGCAAGTGCCCCTCAACACCTCTGCCAGCAGGTCCTGCCAGGGTCACCGGAGACCCTGAAGGATGGAGAGCAGAAAGTGTGGCCAAATTCAGCCCTGGGCTTGGCATTGACCCTCAGTTCTGGATCTGAGTTCACTTTAGGAGGGACAGGAGGTGACAAAAAGGAGGGGCATAAGATCCAGCTGGGAAGGAAAAGGTTCTGCTGAGTAGCGTCATAGCGGAGTGGGCTGAAGGCCTAGCAGGAAAGCTCTCACACTTAAGGGCAGGACAGGGTAACCTGGGGGTTTCCTGGAGACCAGCTGAAACTCCAGGCTGAGTTCCCTGAGCATGCTCAGCGTTGGGACATAAGCCAGACAGCAGCCTAGGGCAGGCGGCCCTGAGGGGTTTGGGGTTGGGAAAACAGGTCTCAGCTTCCTGCAGAGCTATGATGGATATGGAGGCTCCCACACCCCAAAAGACACTCAGCTGACGTAGCAGTGGTAACAAACTGAAAAGCTAGGAGGGGCTACAGGAGCCACCACCCGCAAGTAGCTGGTAAAGGCGACTAGCTCTTGCCGTGGGGAAAAAGAACAGATAGCATCACAATTGAGAAAAAATGAAGTGTGGCAGCCCGGCTCCTGGGATGAAGACATCTCAGAGCCCACAGTGTGGGGACACAGGCAGCTTGTCAGCCAGCAGGCACTGCTCCTAGTTAGCAAATGTACCGGGGAGGTGAGTCATGCAGGAGCCGGACTGTACCACCTTTCCTGAGACTCCTCCGCAGCTGAATGCAAGGCTGCTGTCCTCATAGCACCCACCAGGCTATGCAGGGTTCAGCTGGCTCGGTCTGTTTGTACCACACTGAAATTAGCTACCACTAACTCTGGCAGGCCAGCTCACATCTGCTTCTCTCCTTGTTCCCTCCTCAGTGAGCACCCTAGTAATGAGTGAATCAGATTCCTGCCCCACAACCTACCCAGGAGCAGATGGCCTGTGGGCCCAGTAGGGACCTAACCAGCACACTGGCTGCGAGGAAATGGGGAAGCGACCTGGCAGCAACCGAGTCCATCAGGTGCCCAATTAGAAGAGCAGATGCTGAGGTTGGTGCCTCATCAATGAGGCCAAACTCTTCTGTCCTCAGAGTGGGGACAGATGTCCTGAGGGCCTGACTCCATCACCCTCACCTCAGTCTGAGTCCACTCACTCCTGCCAACTCCTAGAACCCTACAGAACCACAGGGTCCTCACAGTCCTTTGCATCTCCACAAGGACAGGTTAAGTTGATGGAGAGCCCTGGGGTAGGTCATACCCCTCTTTCTGAGAGGCTAGAACCTGCAGGCCAGTGGACACTGGAGCAGGGCAAACAGGGTCCTGAAGCCTAGTTGGCTTGTCAAAGAACCAGGAGGAAGAGGAAGTGAGCAGGGCAGCTGAGCCCTGGGAGCCTCATGGACACAGCTCTTCCCCATAGGAAGGCATGGACCCCAAGCATGCAGGCAGCTGGTCCAGCAGGGGGGTTAGAAGAGTCCCTGTTTACAGCAAGTTCTCTACTGGGGTGTCCAGAACCCTCACTAAAGGGTAGAAGACAATGCATGTCCTGCAGAGGCCACCAAGCCCAGAAGGCAGCCTCTCTTGGCCGTGTCTCCAACCTTAAGCAAGCCTGAGAAGCAGGTGACGAGGTTGCTCCAAAGGGCCTGGAGGGCTGGGGACTGGAAAACGAGGGTGTGCGCTCTACTCAAGGCCTGCTGTTAGGAGAGCATGCTCCCTAGCCAGGCCTGAGCAGCAGCTGGAAGCCCACACAGGCGCTCGTTCCAGCCCACTGGCTTTCTCTCCTGGTGCTACTGGAACATCCTATCTCTCCTGGGGCTGTGGACTGCCAGGCTGACAGAGACAGTTAGCCTGGAGCACAGACCATATGGACATGAGGTCAGGAGGAGTGGACAGTGGGCTGCTCCCAGGAGAGCGGTGTCTCACTGCCTGCACCCACCTCTATGCCAAGCCCACTTTCCAACTAAGGAGCAGTTTATATTCATCTGGCTCTCTGGAAAGCTGGGGTGCCTGCCCCTTCTCACCCAACCGGACCACACAGCAAGGGGAAGGAGACCTAGCAGGTCACTCTGACCTATGGCCTCTGCCACCCTGCCTCAGAGACAATTAAGCACACTAGTGGCCCTGCCTCTCCAACCCCAAATCTTATGGAAATCACATAGCTGCTGGGTACAAGAATCTACAGGGCCTTTTGGATAGGGGACATTTGCTCTATCCTGTGTCCCTAGGAGCCGGGTGACCACAGACATGGACTGATACTGCTCACCCCAGAGTGGACAAAGATAACCCTGTGATTCTCTGGCTACATAAATGGTCAGGGTGAGCTCACCTGGCCGCTTGACGGGCTTCTTGGTAGGTGTGTCTTTCCTCTTGTTGGGGATGGCAGGGGAGTAGGGCACCCCAGAGGAGGAGCTGCTTTTGCGGAAATGCTCCTTCAGGCCTTTGATGGAGCGGTCCAGCTGGCTAGAGCGGATCTGGTAGTAGACATTCATGAAGTCTGGAGAGACAGAGCAGAAGTATGCCAGCGGCCGGGGCCCCCACTCTGCTTCACGTCTGTACAGCAGGGCAGCAGAGGCCATGATGCCACTGGTTAATCCCATCTCAAACCAGGCAGAGTCTCCAAGGGAAAAGCTATCCTCCAACAGAACAAGCGAGGAATTCCCGTATGCCAGGCAATCCCTCTCCACAGAGCTACCACCTACCCTACCAGCTTGTGTTGGTAGCATGTGTTTTTCTGCTTTGTTCTGCCTTTGTTTTTGTTGCTGGTCTATGTTGGGGGGTGTGAGGTATAGGTATTGGCTGCTTTCAGAGAACCCAAGTCCAGTTCCCAGTACCCATGTCAGGTGGCTCATGTCAGGGAGGGAGGGAGAGAGAGAGAGAGAAAATGCTGGGGGAGGTGGCGGGAAAGCTGCCACTCTTCTGGACAAGGAGCCCTGTCCAGTGCTGCTCACCTTGGTTCCGGCCGTACTCCACCAGCCAGCGGGAGATGCGGATGACATCCTGGAGCACACCCTCAGGCAGGTGCTCCAGGGCCACATCTTCCTGGACCTCCAGGTCATCATAACCACTGATCAGGTCCAGGATGAGCACAGGGGAGACAACCTTGCTGTGCCGGGTCATCAGACTGCGGAACTCAGACTCCAGGGACTCCTTCCCCCGCTCAAACAGCAGCTTCTGCGAGGACAAGAGAAAGAGGCTGCTGCTGCTGCTGAGCTGGGATCTGCAGCCCCTTCCTTCCTGCCCTTGGGCCTCCGGAACCCCAGCCACTCCTCCTTCAAAGCACAGAAGAAACCCTGGGAAGCCTGACTTGGCAATTTCCTTTCCTTCAGTTTCTCAAAACTGATGGTTGCTCCAGGTGTGGTGGCGCACACTTTTGATCCTAGCACTCAAGAAGCAGAGGCAGGTGGATCTCTGTGAGTCTGAGGACAGTCAGGACAACACTGAGGTCCTGTCTAAAAATAAACAAAAAATGCTTGATGTTCACAGGCCAAACTCTGCTTAACAAGCATTAGTTTATTATTTTCTCATTTTCACTGCTAACTGTCCTCTAGTCAAGAAGGGATTTGTAAAAGAAACAAGCAGGTAAGTTGATACAGTATGCTGCAAACAGATGAACCTTAAACACATTATGCTAAATCAGCACTCGAGAGGCAGAGGCAGAGGCAGGTGGATCTCTGGGAGTTTGGGGCCAGCCTGGTCTACAGAGCAAGTTCCAAGATAGCCAGAGCTACCCAGAGAAACCTGTCACAACAACAACAAAACAAAAACAAACCACATTACACTAAAACAGAGAAGCCAAGGCCGAGGAAGACAGGTCAGTTAGGAATTTGCTTGCCATGCAAGCACAAAAACCTAAGTTCTATCCCAGCACCCACCTAGACAGCTAGGTATGAGCCTGGATGTGGTGGCATACACCTTTAATCCCAGCACTCGAGAGACAGAATCAGGCAGCTCTCTACACAGTGAGACCCTGTCTCAAGAACAAAAATAAAAACATGTGCACAGGTGCTACAGTGTTGCAGAAGTCAGAGGACCGCCCTGATATGGTGACAGGTGGTTTAACCCTTGCTCAGGTGTGTGTGTAAAGACAGGCAGATCCCTGGGATGCAGCAGCTGGCTGGTCTAGCCTAATCAGTGAGTCAGCTCCGGTGAGAGACCCTGTCTCAAAAAACGTCAGGGCTGGAGAGATGGCTCAGAGGTTAAAAGCACTGACTGCTCTTCAGAGGTCCTGAGTTCAATTCCCAGCAATGTGGCTCACAGCCATCTATAATGAGATCTGGTGCCCTCTTCTGGCATGCTAGCTAGAAGAGTATACATAATAAATAAATTAATCTTTAAAAAAAAAATAAATCTTAAAAAAAAAAACAACAACAAAACCTCATTACTGAGGAATATCACCTCAGGTTGGTCTCTTCAGGTTGGTCTCTGGCCTCCACATACACACGGATGCATATGCATCCACCCACACATCTACAGACAGACAGACAGACAGACACACACACACACAAAGAAGCACCTTTCAAAAGACAGGTTTACCACTGAGGGGCTGTGGTATTGCAGCTACTGGTGTACTAAACTACTGACCCTAGGGAGGTCAGTCCTTAAAATAGCCAAGTGGACCCGGGATGGAGGTCTCATCTCTCTCACAGGATCCCACTGATTTCTTACCACTTTGTTGAGCTCTGGACTGTCTGGGCTGTTGTCCTGAAAATACTCCACAGCCTTCTGGATTTTGGCCATGCTTCCCAGGTATTCTTCCAATCTGCCTGTGGGACTGGGAAGAAAAAAAACACTGGATCAGCCTTGAAGAATGGGGGTTAAAATGATGGGCTGAGGACATGGTATGCCAGAGGGGGAGAGAACGCACATGAGAGACTCTAAGCTCAAATATGTTTTATTTCCCTTCTAGAGCCTAGAGTCACTGGGCCAGGAGACATTAGTTCTGCAACCTCTGCACGCAACTCACCCCTCCTTGATGATCTTCTCAGTGTCGCTGGCTACATGGTAATAGCTGATGACGTGGTCCAGGCAGGATAATGTCTTTTCTACATTATCCTGCAGCCTCTGCAGATTCTCCGTCTGCTTGTGCACGGGGATGATGGAGTTCTCCAGCTTCATGAGCCGGCTCTCGAAGGACGAGAGGATAGACACCTGCGGGAGGAAGGCCTCTGGCTCTCAGGTCTCAGGGTTATCCTGGCATCTCTTACCTTTTTTTGGTTTTCTAGACAGTAAGCTACATACAGGAAGGAACACAGTGGGCTTGTCCCTAATTTAGTATATGATACGTGATTCAAGATAAACTGGTGAAATTTCTTTTTAATTTTTTTAAGATTTATTTTTATGCGCATTGAGTTTGTTTGTTTTGTCCTGCATGTATGTCTCTGCAAGAAGGCCAAATCCCCTGGAACTGTATTTACAGACAGTTGAGAGCTGCCATGTGGGTGCTGGAAATTGAATCCAGGCCCTCTGGAGGAGCAGCTGATGCTCGTCTTCAGGCAAGAAAAACATCAAACTAATTCTTCCTAAGATGATCACCCTAGGGAGCTGGAGGGATGATGGCTCAGGGGTTAAGAGCACTGGCTGCTCTTGCAGAGGACCTGACTTCAGTTCTCGGCATCCACATTACTGCTCACAACTAACTGCCTTGAACTCCACTGCCAGAGGGTCTGACGCCCTCTTCTGGCCCCTGAAGGTACTGCACACTCACAGAGCAAATACACACAGAGTAAAAGTAAACTTTTAACAGAGAAATGAAGCTGGGCAGGGTGGCACACACCTTTAATCTCAGCACTCGGGAGGCAGCGGCAGGTGGATCTCTGTGAGTTTGAGGCCAGCCTGGTCTACAAGAGGACAGGCTCCAAAGCTACAGAAAAACCCTGTCTCGAAAAACCTAAATAAATAAATAAAAAGAAATGATAATCACCTCAGGACGGCTTCCTTTCTACTCTTTAAAGCTCAATCTCAATTTCTGTTCTCTCTGACATTTTCCTAAACTGAACAGGAAGTGGCTTCATGAAGAGTAGTCCCAAATACATTGCTGTTACCTTCAAAACCTCTTTCCCTAAAGGCGAATCTCATGAAAGAAGTATGTGACTTTATTATATTTATTATTATTTTTTAATTTATTTATTTCTTTATTAATTAATTAAAGATTTCTGTCTCTTCCCCACCGCCGCCTCCCCTTTCCCTCCCCCTCCCCCAATCAAGTCCCCCTCCCTCGTCAGCCCAAAGAGCAATCAGGGTTCCCTGCCCTGTGGGAAGTCCAAGGACCACCCACCTCCATCCAGGTCTAGTAAGGTGAGCATCCAAACTGCCTAGGCTCCCACAAAACCAATAGGTGCAGTAGTATCAAAAATCCATTGCCATTGTTCTTGGGGTCTCAGTAGTCCTCATTGTCCACTATGTTCGAGACTGGTTTTAACCCAGGCTTTTTCAGACCCAGGCCAGCTGGCCTTGGTGAGTTCCCGATAGGACATCCCCATTGTCTCAGTGTGTGGGTGCCCCCCTAGCGGTCCTGAGTTCCTTGCTCGTGCTCCCTCTCCTGGTTATTATATTTATTATTGTGTGACTAAACACAAATGCAGGTTTGTATCTACTCAATCTACTCAATCTGGGTTCCAGTTTCCTCTAAGAATAAAGAAGCAAGTGGGTGGTGGGATACACTGTTAATCCCAGTCCTGGGGAGGCAGAGGCAAGTGGATCTCTGAGTTCAAGGCCAGCCTGGTCTACAAATGGAGTTCCAGGACAGCTAGGGCTGCACAGAGAAATCTTGTCTCGAAAAAACAATATAAAAACATTTTTAAAAAATGATATAAAAGCATGTTAAAGCACCCATCATATACCAGAGTGTAACAGGCATTGATTTCTTTTTTTTTTAAAAAGAGACAGAGAAGGGGGGAAGCAGAGAAGTGGGGAGAGAGGCAGAAGCGAAGCTGCCTCTCCAAGAGGAAGATGGAAAGAAGACCAGGCATTGATTTCTATGTCCCTTCACAGACACGCTGGGAGAATGGCGTTGTCTGTTTTAGTAGCTGAACTAACCAAAACAAGTCTTGCCCACCAAGAACCTCATAATAAGCTGTGGAACAAGGGCTAGGTCTAAGATCCGCTAGCTCTCTGTGATGATGTAATCCCAAAAGCCCTTGGGATTTAGCTGCGTGATCTCACGGAACCAGCCTTCCAGGCGAGCACGCAGCACCTGAATGACAATGACAGGGCTCAGTCCCAGCCCATCTACAAGGTATATCAATCAGTAAACGTTTGCACAGCACACAAGTCCAGACCCGCGGTGTCTTTAGAGAGGGGGCGAAGACCAGGGAGCAGCTAGCGAAGCCCACACAGTACCACCGTTGCTACCCACGCTGGACTCGGGCCCGGGACCCGTCCGTCACTAGCCCCTCCGCTGCGGCCGGGGGTGGGCTGTCTGCGGCCTCCCAGCTGAGGGGCTACTCACCATGTTCTTAGTGAGCTGGTCGCTCTTCTCCAGGCTGTCTCGGATGAAGGACAGCGTCTCCTCCTCCTGCAAGGATTGGAGAGGACGACGTCACCCCGAGTGGAGACGACGACGTCACCCCGAGCCGGCGGAGGGAGGAGCCTACCACCGCCCGCCCCCACGGCCTACCCCCACCCGCGTCTCTCCACCCCACCCCCCATCCCCGACAGTCCACGCCCTGGCGCCCTGGCGCCCTGGCGCCCTGGCTTCACTTTCTCCCCTGCTTCACCTTCTTCAGCTTGTCCTCGATTTCCCGCCGCCGGGCGGAAGCCTCCTGCGGTGGGATCATCGCAGCGGACAGCCCCGATCCCACTCCTCGCTGACTTCGCTCAGACGCCCGCTCGGCTTCCGTCCCGGTCACACCCACTTCCGCCGTCCGCCCCGCCCCCTGGACGCGCTGGTGGCGCCATGTTGGGAGTGGCGAGCTGAAGCCATCTTGAGTGTGGCTGGAATTGCTGGCTCCTGACGTCTGAGACTGCTCTGCCTGCTTCTTTGAAAGACAGACCCCTGCTGGGAATGCTGGCTCACACTTCCCGCTCTGGGAGACTGAGGCAGGAGGTCAACCATCAGTTTGGGTTACATAGTAAATATCAGGCTAACCTAGGCTACAGCGTCAGACTCTGTCCCCAAACCAAAAATCAAGAAAACAAAAATCGCACCTGATTTATTTATTTGAGACAATTTCTCTGTAGTTTTGAAATTGGCTATGTAGACCAGGCTGACCTCTGCCTACCGGGTGTTGTTAGATTAAAGGTGTGCGCCACCAAACCCAGCTCACCTGATTTAAAATAAAAAAGATTTAATACATTTATTTTTGTGTTTCTGTGTGTGAGAGCATACACATCCTATGGAGTGGGTATACAGGTTGGAGTCAGTCTTCTCTTTCCCATGTGTGGGTCCCAGAGGGATTGAATTCAGGTGTCAATCTTGGTGGCAAATGTCTTACTCTACTGAGCTATCTCACCAGGTCATGATTTATTTATGGTGTGTGTGGGGTGGGGGTGTCTTGCCTACATGTATGTGAAGTCTGTGTGCCTGGTTCCCTGGAAGGACAAAAGAAGGCATCAGATGCCCTGGAACTGGAGTTACAGTTGTGAGCTGCCATGTGGGTGCTGGGAACCCAACTCAGGCCTCCCTAGAAGAACACTAAGTGCTCTTAACTGCTGGGCCACTTTCCTGAGCCCCTGATTTATAATAAAAGCTCTGGATGAGGTGACAAGTTTGTTTCCCCAGATCACACGCTAGGGCCATGTCTGGAGACTTTTTCCCCAGATCACGCATTAAGGGTCATGTCTGGAGACTGTTTCCCCAGATCACACGCTAGGGCCATGTCTGGAGATGGAGTCCACACAGAGTAACACAGTAAATACCTGCCGGCCATTGGCTCCTCTGATGAACCAGGAGCTTTGGGATCAGTCCTTTGGTTCTTGTTTGTGACTGAGCAGGTCTGTGTGCCTGCAGGGCTACTGCTTTCCTCTCCAGAGCTCTCGGTTACTTGAGACCCCTGGAGAAGGAGAAACCAGTGGATCAGGGCCCTGTGGAGCTGGATCTGCATCAGCTCTTGCAAAACCTCCCATGATCCCTCCCTGCCCCAGCTGCACGATCTTTGCTGCTGTTAGAGGTGTGGGTGACTTTTTTGCTGGTGTCTGTGAGTCAGGCATCCAGCCCTGGGAAAATAATCAATTAGGCAAGTGCAAAGGCTTTCTTTAGATGTTATCACTGGCTTTCTTTAGACAATATCATTGGCTTTCTCTTGTGTGCATAAATAAGCTGGAGATGGAGCTCAGTTCTGGAGTGCTTTCGGAGTTTGCGTGAAGCCCAGAGTCTGATCCCCAGCACTGCCTCTAATCCTAGTACTTGAGAGGTGGAGGCAAGAGGATCAGAAACTCCAGGTCAGGACTGGAGAGCCACCTCAGTCCAGTTGGGGAAGTGCTTGCCACTCAAAGGGTGAGGACCCACATAAAAAGCCAGCCATGGTGGCATAGGCCTTCAAATCCCATGCTGGGAGACGGAGACCCTGACTGTCCAGGGCAGTGTAATGAGTGAGCCCCTGATACCAGTGAGAGAACCAGCATACACACACACACACACACACACACAGAGAGAGAGAGAGAGAGAGAGAGAGAGAGAGAGAGAGAGAGAGAGAGAGCACGAGAGAGCCTGGGATATGAGTCCCTACTTAGCTTAACAACAACAAAGGACATATGAGCCTTTCTGCAGGTTTTTCAAATGCCTTCAGTGTCTCGGTGTAATCTGGCAGCTACCCACCGAGCGCTGAGAGCCTTCTGTTTGCACATCCGTGTTACAAACACCATCCTGGCACTATCTCTTGTAATCCTAACGTTAAACTGGGAGTGGGGACCAGCTGTTGTCTCCCTTCCCAGGCAGAGGAAGCACTGTTTCCTTAGGTTGTCCCGAGTCAACACAGCTGGCTCGGAGGAGGGACAGCTGAGGCTCCAGCCTCTGCTTCACCAGCCAGCGAGAGAGCACAGGAGCCTGCTGGCTCGCAGCGCTGACAGCCTGACTCCCGAGCAGGCCGTTATGAAAAGCAGGTTATGTTTATGACAACCGTCACGACTGAAACACGGACAGAATAGGAAAAGAGGCTAAATGACTCTCACTCCCGTGCCTGGCGTGTATTGACAAGTTAGTATGAATGCAGTGAAACTTGTAACTCTCCAATTATATTCAACCCAAGGCAGCTAAGCAAAGATGCCAATAATAGCCCAGTGCCCTGCCGCTGCTCACAGAGTCTCTCCCTGGAGGGAGGACGCTGGAAGAAGAGAGGAAGAAGGCATGGGGATCCCTCCCATGATGGTGTGCTCTTGGTTTAACTTCCTCATTCTAGGCTTTGTGCCCTTCCTGGGGAATCGACAGCTCCCTTCCTCCAAATTAGTGTTTTCTGGCCCTGGAGCAGAATTGAAAAGACCTATATATTTAAATAATAAGAGATGGAGTCTCACTATGCAGCTCTGGCCATTCTGAAACTCATTATGTAGACCACGCTAGGCTAAAATTTTTTTTTAAATCCTGTGAATAAATTATTTAAATGCCATGCTATGTGTTTTTCTTCATTTAAAAACTAGTCTGATTATCTTATTATTCATATTTTTTTATGAAATAATGCCCTCTGTCCCTTTTCTTTTTCGCAGGGGGTTTCAAGACAGGGTTTCTCTGTGTAACAGCCCTGGCTGTCCTGGTGCTCGCTCTGTAGACCAAGCTGGCTTTGAATTTCCAGAGATTCTCCTGCCTCTGTCTCTGGACTCTGGGATTAAAGGCGTGCGCCACCACTGCCTGGCCCTTTGTCCCTTTTCTATAATGCTATTCACATTTTCTTATTGGTTTTTCAGAATTCTTTAGATATTAAAGACGTTAGTCACCACTTACAGGAAAAGTTTCTCTTTTATGTGGTTGTCCTCTGTTGCTGGTATTTGCCTCTGCTAATGTTTAAGATTTATTGATTTGTGTGTTTATCGGTGTGAGTGCATTTCCGTGGGAGTGGATGTGTGGGTGAGCACAGCCACGGAGGCCAAGGGCATCCAGGGTCTTCTGCCACTCTCTGCATAGATGGCCCTTTGATGTTCGTCTGAGACAGGCTCTCACTGTGTAGTCCTGGCTAGCCTAAAACTCACTGTGTAGACCAGGCTGGCTCCAACTCAGAGATCTGCCACCTCTGCCTGTGGTGGGACTAAAGGCCGGTACCACCACCTCCTGTTTTACCCATCCCTTGAGGCAGGCTCTTACCCTAGATTTGCTTGAGCAGGCTGGAAGGCAGCAAATTCCAGGGACCCTCTACCTCTGTTCCTTCCTGGAGCTGGGATTATACGTATAAGTAATGATGCCCAGCTTGCTAGTGGCTGCTGGGATCCATACTCTGATCTTCAGGATGGCACCAGGGCTCTTAGCCACTGAACCATGGCTCCAGCCATTAATTTTTATTTATCCTTATTTGTGAGAATCTGTGTAGCCCAGATTGAAACCCCAAATCACCATGTAGCCAAGGGTGACCTGGAACTCCTCATCCTCCTGCCTCCACCTCCCACACTGCAAGTGAGTCACTGTACCCAGCTTCACAGGCAGGAGCAGGAGTGGAGGAGGGGCCAGGCCAGTGGGAGCCTGCTGGATGGATCAAATGCAATTAGGACCACTCTCTTCACAGCTGACTGACAGAAGGAGGGAGTCAGCCAGGCCACTGGACTGATGGAATCACCATGGTAACCAGAAAAACCCAGCTGCCTCCTACCTCCTGGCCTTGGCCCTACCTAGTAGGTGTTTAGGGTACTCAATAAATCTACGGTGAACAAATGCATAAAGAAGCTAACTCCGAGAGTGTCAGGGAATGATGCCACCCCCAAGTCCCAGAGAAGGAAAGCTGAGTGTATCCTTGAGGCCCCCATGAGCCTCTCTGACGTGAATCAGGCACAACCCGCAGCAGCACTAATTCGTATCCCTTCCTCTAGTACCCACAACCCCCATCCAGCCTCCCACCCAGCAACGCACCCACCGAGGGTAGGTCCGAGAGAGTCGGGGGCTTTGAAGCAGGGCTGTGGACAGCGGGGAGGCCATGGTGAGGGCCGCAGATGACACAGCAAAAGAGGAGCTCCCCTGTGAGGTGGGAGGGTGAGCTGCCTGGGTTTTGCCGAGGTGAAATTAGCTTGGAGGATTTGTGAAGCATAAACCTCATTTGCAAAAAACACCTCCGTGGGCTTGGTCTGTAGGCCAACCCCTAGGCCATTTTCTCGGTTAATAATTGCTGTGGAGGAGTCCGGAGGAGTCCAGCTCGCGGTGGGCAGTGCCGCCCTGGGCAGGGGGCCCTGAGTATGTAAGAAAGCAGTCTGAACAAGGCAGGTTCCTCCGAGGCCTCTGCATCAGCTCCTGCCTCCAGCTTTCTGCCCTGAGTTTAGATAATCTGTCACCTAGTTCACTGCGAATCTCAGGGACTTTTGGTGAGGCAAGCGTCTTTACCCTCCAAACTATCTTTGCCAGTCTGGGCTACTCCATTTCTTCTTTTTCCTCTTTTCATGTGGGGTGTGTGTGTGTGTGTGTGTGTGTGTGTGTGTGTGTGTGTGTGATAAGCCCATTTCTACGGGTGCTTGTGGGTGTAGCGGTCCAAGTTTGGCTTATGAAATTATGTTCCACTAATCTTCAGCCTCAATAATCGAGGCAGGTTTTCTCCATCAAACCCAGAGCGTGCAGACATAGTTTAGTTAGCAGGCTTGCTCGGGGATGCCTATCTCTGCCTTCCTTCAAGGCTGGAATTACAAACTGCTGTGCCCAACTGGCAATTATGTGGGTTGTGGGTGTGGGTCCTCACTTGCAGGACAAGAACTTTAACCATTGAACCCCCCCCC